CCGTTTCTGATAGTTATGCCGCGACCGGGGCATAGCAGCAAGTCCATCGAGTGCACCGCTACAGGATCACCTACAGCGCAGCCAGTCAGTCAGCATCATCATCAGCATCAGCATCATCACCACCATCATCATCACCATCATCATCATCAGCATCAGCATCAGCCTTAGCACCTGCACCATCATCGTCATCATCATCAACATCAGCATCATGATCATACCCAATAATCATCATCGTCATCGTCGTCATCGTCGTCGTCGTTGTCGTCGTCGCCGTTGTCGCTGTGGTCGTCAGCAGCTGCAGCATCATAGCCGTCCCCGTCACCGCAATCACCACTATGAGCATCATTATTTCATTACCATACCCATTATCATCGGTTTCACCATCGTCACCACCACCATCATCATCATCATCATCATTATCATCATTATTATCATCATCGCCATCATCATTATCATCATCAGCATCATCATATCCACCATCATCACAATCGTCGCCATGATCATCGTCGTCATCATCACCATTCTTGTTATCATCAGCGTAGTCATTGTCATCGCCATCATCAGCAGCACGAGCATCAGCACCATCATCATCATCATCATCATCATCATCATCATCATCATCATCATCATCATCATCATCGTTACCATCATCATCGTCATCATCAGCATCTGCATCAACATCAGCATCATCATCATTATCGTCATCACCACCAGCATCAGCATCACCATCATACTCAGAATAGGTAGCATAATCCAAAGCATCGTCGTCGTCGTCATTGTCGTTGTCGTCGTCAGCAGCAGCATCGTCACCATCCCCTGTCACCGTCACCATCATCAACTTCATCATCAACTTCATCAGCATCGTCATCGCCATCGTCATCGAAATCATCACTATGAGCATTAGTATCTCCATTACCGTCACCATCATCATCAGTATCACCACTATCATTACCACCACCTTCATCATCCTCGTCACCATCATCATCAGCACCGTCATCACCATCATCATCAGCATCGTCACCATCATCATCATCGTCATCATCATCCTTATCATAATCATCATCAGCAGCATGGTCGTCAGCACCAACATCAGCATCAGCGTCATCACCATCATCATCAGCATCTGCATCAGCATCAGAATCAGCATCTGCATCACCATCGTCATTTTCATCAGCATCAGCATTATCATCATGCTCATCATACTCTCCATAATCATCATCGTCATCATCGTCTTCGTCTTCGTCAGCAGCACTACCAGCAACATCATCACCATCCCCTGTCACCAACACCATCGTCAACATCATCATCACCATCATCATCATCGTCATCGCAACCATCACTATTAGCATCATTGTCCTCATTATCAGAACCATCATCATTAGTACAGTATCACCATCATCACCACCACCTTCATGATCACCATCATCATCAGCACCGTCATCACCACCATCACTATCAGCATCGTCACCATCATCATTGTCATCATCATTGTCAAAATCATCATCAGGAGCATGAGCATCAGCACCAACATCAGCATCAGCGTCATCACAATCATCATCAGCATCTGCATTAGCATCAGCATCAGCATCAGCATCAGCATCTGAATCATCATCGTCATTTTCATCAGTATCAGCATTGTCATCATGATGTTCATACTCTCCATAATCATCATCATCATCATCATCATCGTCATCGTCTTCGTCAGCAGCAGTACCAGCAACATCATCACCATACCCTGTCACCAACACCATCGTCAACATCATCATCATCGTCATCGCAACCATCACTATTACTGGGGCCAACGCGTGGCACTCCCTCTAGCCCTTGGGGGGACCCCTACTGACAAGCCCCCGGCTTGTCAGTCCGAGGCGCGCCACTGACACGCCCACGGGGCGTCCACTGACACCCCCCAGGCGCCTCCCGGGCCGCCTTGGGGGCCCCGGTGGGGGCGCGCTGACAAGCACCCGGGGCGTCCATTAGCACCCCCTCAGGCAACCGCCCGCCGTGCCGCCCTGGGGTCCACTGACAAGCCACCCCCGGGGTCCACTGACAAGCCTCCTCCTACCCCTCCTCCCCCTCCTGCCCCCCCTCCCCCATCACCTCCTCCCTCCTCCCTCCTCCGCCTCACTCCTTACCCTCTCCCTCCCCTCCTGCGCACTCTCTCCTCCTCCTCCCCCTTCTTCTATTCCCCCCCCTCCACAGTAATCTTCTCCTGGCGGCCACTCCTCCTCCTGCTCCTCCTCTGCGGCCAGGGCGGCAGCGGCCGCGGCGCCAGCGGCGGCCGCGGCACCGGCGGCGGCCGCGGCGGCGGCGGCGGCGACGGCGACGGCGACGACGACGACAACGACGACGACGACGACGACGACGACGACAACGACGACGACGGGGACGACGACGACGACGACGACGACGACGACGACGACGAGGACGAGGACGAGGACGAGGACGAGGACGAGGAGGAGGAGGACGACAACGACGACGGCGACGGCGGCGGCGGCGGGGAGGGCAAGGGCGGGAAGGGAGAGAAGCGAGGTGAGGTGAAGCATCGAGGGAAAGGACTAAACAGGGAGGGGGCGGGCGGGAATAAGCGGGAGGAGGGAGGAGGACGAGGGACAGGGGGGAGAGAGAGGGAAGGGGCGGGGAGGAGGTTTCACAGGCTGTCGAACCCCGCTCGCTGCCATTCGCTCTCTGCCGCGCCGCGCGCGGTCTCCGGCGCGCGGCGGGGCTGGCGGCGGACACAGGCACCCCGCCTGCTGTGTCGCACGCGCCGCCGCCGCCGCCGCCGCCGGGAATCCCCGGGCCCTACAGGCCCTAAGGCCTAGAGCCTAGCGGTGGCGATGGTGCCACTCGCGATGAAATACATGGGATCACGAGGAGGACGAGGAGGAGGAGGGAGGGATGATGGGTGATGGGGGGGAGGAGGGGGAGGAGGGGGAGGAGGAGAAGGAGAAGGAGGAGGAGAGGAGGAGGAGGAGGAGGAGGAGGAGGAGGAGGAGGAGAAGGATGAGGAGGAGGAGGAGGAGGAGGGGGAGGGGGAGAGCGCCTCAAACAGCAAACAACAGCGAGCCCACTCGCTGCAGAAACAAATCAGAACCCAGAGATAGAGAGAGAGAGAGAGATAGCGAGAGAAAGAAATAAAGAAAGAAGAAAAACAAACAAGAAGAAAAATAATCGGATCCGACGACGGGGGGGATATCAAAGGGGGCGTTGGCGAATCAGCTCACGGAGCTGATTTCTCTGGCACCTCCCAGAGCTGGACGCGACCAATGGGCCCATCGGCGGGGCCGAAACCAGCTACATGCAGCAGATTTCGTTCCCCCCTTTCCCTATCCCCACCCGTCGCCCGACCCGAGAGAGGAATCGGGAGGGAGGAGGGCTCGCCCTACGCGGCGGCGGCGGCGGCCTCACCGCCGCCGCTGAGCTTCCGGCGCTTCGCCGGCTGCGCGCGCTCCTCCCCAGAGGCAAGTGGCCCGATGGCGGCGGCCGCCCCAGCGGCAGCCCGGCCAGGCTGGCCAGGGCGGGGGGTCCAGAATGAGAGGCTCCTCCATCTCCTCCTCGTCCTCCTCCTCCTCCTCCTCCTCCTCCTCCTCGTCCTCCTCCTCCTCGTCCTCCTCCTCCTCCTCCTCCTCCTCCTCCTCCTCCTCCTCCTCTCGCGCCCTCCCTCTCGTCCTAGCCCTTCCCCGAGGGCCGAGGGGAAGGAGGAAGAGGAGGGGGGGGGGGGAGGATGATGATGATGATGATGATGAGGAGGAGGAGGAGGAGGAGGAGGGAAAGGAGGAGGAGGAAGAAGAGGAGGAGGAGGACGACGACGAGGAGAACGAGCCCGCGCGCCCAGGCCCCCAAGGGCCAGAGCCCCCGTTTTCCAAGCTTAGTCCAACCGTGGCGACGCTGCAGCACCCGACCAGCAATAAAAAGGGGGGGACGAGGACGGGGTCGAGGAGGAGGAGGTCGGACGGGAGCTTTCGTCGGGAAAGCAGATCCTGGATGATCGCCTCGATGCACCCGTGCGGCTGCACCAGGCCCTCCAGGTCCAGCGCGGACACGGCGCCGGCCACCTCGGCGACGCGCCCCGCGTCCGGCTCCGCCGCCAGGCAGTTGATCCACCGGTGAAGCGGCCGCCGCGGACGAAGGCCGCGTGCTTCGCCACGTTCTTCTCGAACCACCCGTCAGGGAAGCACGACTCCCACAACTCCTTGCAGGGCTTCACGGCCTGCTGGAACCACCTCCAGCGCAAGTACACGCTCTTGACCTTGGCAGACGTGGCGAGGATCTTGGCCTGGTCCACGAGCGCGGCATGATCGAGGCTGCGGCCGTGGGCGTCGCAGCTGTCCAAGAACATCTCAACGCTGTTATCCGCCATGGCCAAGGCTTGCAGCGGATCGAGGAACAGACGCCTGGCGCTCGACAGGAACCGCTCCGCCTCATTGCAGGCTGCCGTGACCACGTCCCGGAGCTGCCAATCGGCCATCTTCCTCACAATGACCCCTGCCGTCTTGAGACTCGCCGGGCGCAGCTGATCGTTCGACGCGATGTCCTCCGGGAAAGGGAGGGCGGCTCCTCCTCCTCCTCCTCCTCCTCCTCCTCCTCCTCCTCCTTCTCCTCCTCCTCCTCCTCGCCCTCGTCCTCCCCCTCCTCCGCCTACTCCTCCTCCTCCTCCTCCTCCTCCTCTGCCTCCTCCTCCTCCTCCTCCGCCTCCGCCTCCGACGGGCAGGGGGGCGGCGACGACGACGACGACGACGACGACGACGACGACGACGACGACGACGACGGACGACGGACGACGGGCGACGACGACGACGACGGACGACGATGAGGACCTAGTTTCGGTAGCACACCCTTCCCTCTCCACCTGACCCTGAACCGCCGCAGTCCTCCCCTCCCATCCCTCCACCTCCTCCACCTCCCCCTGCCCTTTCTCCTCATTTCCCTGCCCGCCTCGTCCTCCCCCCCCTCCTCCTCGCTGCTTGCCTCCCCCCGCCCCGCGGGTCTCCAATCCGTCCATGACGTCCGTGGCCAGCATCACCGCCTTCATGTACGACTGGAACTTCGGGAGCAATTTCTCGAGATACGACTCGACGTCGCCGGCCGGGTCCTGGGTCAGCCCCTCGGGTGGATGGCACAAGGACATGGCCTGGAACAGCAGCGTGACGAAGGGGCCCTGGAGAAGGACGTGGAAATCCGTCTCGTACACGTGGTCTGGACTGACGCGCGTGAACTTGAAGTTCCAGAGATCGTGGCCCATCGACACGAGCATGATGGCCACCGGCTGGACAATGCTGAGCTCCCTCTTCAAGATGGCGAGGCGCTGCTCGACGAGCGCCGACCCCTCCGCGCCCCTCGGGAACCCTTCTTGGCAGGCCGACATCATGTCGCCCACGAGGGTCTGCTTAGAGGCCGGCTCCTTCAAGTCCAGGTACTTCTGGCAGTCCATCGCCACCACGAATGACATGAGAGGATCGTCGCAATCATTGCCCTTGAAGAGCAGCGGCTTCCAGCTGACGAAAAGGAAGTTGAGCACCGCGTTCATAGCATGGGCGCGTACGAGGCCAACACCTTCACCGTCCGCGTAGCCCCGTGGGTCAGGATTCACGCCCGTACCCCAAACGGTAGCCATCCTTGACGACGGCGTGAGTGCGCGGAACAAGAAACTGAAGTCCCGATGGTTATAAAAATCTGTACCTTTAGGGCCATCTTCCAGGATGAGGAACAAGCCCCTCTGCAGAACGCTCACGTACTCGCGCGTCTCCGTGTACCAGCTGGCGAAGCTGTCGGTCTCCTCGGTCGTCGCGAGGTACCGATCGATGATGTCCTTCGGCTGCTCGGCGGCCATGGTGAAGGTCAGGATGTGGTTGAAGGTGGACATCGTGCTTAAGATCTTCTCTGCCCCCAGATCACCGTAGCCCCTAGAAATCATCTCCTCGAGCGTGTCAGCGATTTCACGCAGGCCCGTCTGGAACTCGGAATTGAACTTGGCAGTGTACGCGTTCACGATGCGAGCGAAGCACTTCTGAAACCGCTCCTCCCACGCGCGGAGCTCGACCTCGTTGGCGGACGAAAACTGTGGCGACATCTTCTCGATCACAAGCCTGTACTTCTCGATGGCGACGCTGAGCCGACGCTGGTCATCCTCGATGTACTGCGGAGCTCCCTTGTCCTGGGGCTCGCCGTTCGCAATGATGAGCTCCTCCTCGGCCCAGGCGCCGCGCTGCAATTCCTCCCAAATCTTCATGCCGGCTTTATCCTTGGCGATGCCGTCGTGGGCGTCGCACACGGCCGCGGTGATCAGACCGCCAGATGGGAAAAGCTTCAGCGCTTTCCCAAATTGATTGGTCTTCTGGCCGTTCACGATCTGCGCGCAGAGATCACAAATCGACTGGACATCCGACGGGTCGGCGCGAGAGACGAGCACGATCTTGGTAATGTCCCTCAACTCCTCGGAGAACTTCTCGTCGAAAACACCTGCGTGGGGCTCAAGGGCGCCGAAGAACTTACGAATGCCATCCAAATTGTTCCCCACGCTCAGCAACGTGGGGATCATGTCCATCAGCATCTCCTTAGCGATAGCCACTGCCCTGGCGGCGTCGACCCTCTTCGCCCAGACAGTCCACGGCGCCAGGAAACCCGAGGGCTCGCGCTCAAGGCGGAAACCGAAAAGGATATCAACCCACTCCTGGTACATGCAGTGCTGGGCGGTCACCTCCAGCATGCGCTGCCCCGTCACCACGATGACGGCATCGTTGTGCTCCCTTTCGGCTAAGTCCTGGAAGAACGCAATGATGGCCTCGATCAGCTTCCCGATGAACGCGGGGACCTCGTCGAGCTTGGGCGGAGTGGCCAGTGCCAGCCTGGCCGGCGAGCCAATGCGGACCGTTCCTCGTGCTGCTGCCCCCGCTGCTCCAGCTCCTCCGGCCCCCCGTCCTTTCTCTGCCTCCCCTCCTCCGACCTCCTCCATCCTCCCTTTCATCGTCGTCGTCGTCGCCTTCGCCCTCCTCCTTTCCACCGCCGCCCCGCAGCCACCGCCGCGGCGCCCCCCGGGACGACCAGGGGGCGATCGAGCTCTCGCGACAGGCCCGGCCAGCGGGGAGGGGGGAGGACAGGGGGAAGGCGTTTCCGAATCACGCAGCCTGCTCATGACGACCTGCCAGCGGCCCACAATGCCCTGCAGCATCTTGAGCTCGTCGAGGATGTCCATGGGGGTCTTGTCGTCAGGCAACTCGACCTGAGCCTTGTATGCAAACATCAGGCTCGGATCCACTCGCTTTTCCAAAGACTTGATCAACCCATCCACCTGGTGTTTTTTTCCATGCTTAACCAGCCTCGAACTGATCCCTACCCCTGAGACTGACACGCCAAAAGTCGATGACAATCTTAGGGATGCACCCTCAGAAACTGAGGGGATCCCTGAGATCGCCATCGTGACGAGGCGATGCCCAACATAGGGGTAGGGATAGGTTCCAGGCTGGTAAATGCTGGATGAGCAGCAGAGGTGGGATGCTGCAGGGAGGGGCAGGCGTGGAGGAGAGGGGAAGAGAAAAGGAGAAGGGAGGGTGGCTGACCTGCTTGATGGTCACGGACGCGTATGTCTCAACGTCGGACAGCAGGGCGAGCATTTGGGTCGTCTTCTGGAGCAGGATGGAAGCGTTGAGCTCAGTCATATTCTTGCCTGCGAGTGCAGAGGGGGGGGGGAGGGGCGGCTTCGGGGGTGAACGCACCCCCCTTAAAATAAGACGTGGCTTAGTGAAAACGACCTGAGGCCCAAACCTGGCGGGCGCAAACGGGGAAAATAACGGCCGCGGCGCCCTCTCGAGAACCGAAAACTGACAATTCACTAATCGACGCGTCACTCCTGGGGGTTCTGTCCACCCCGGACGGCCCGGGCGGGCGGAGGGGCAGGCGCGAGCGAAGGGAAAGGGGAAATTGACGACGGAGCAGAGGAGGGGAAGTAGAGGAGCGGGTGTTGCGACGAGCCTTTCTGCTGCTTGCCCCCGGGCAACTTCGGCTTCGACGGGGCGCCGCTGCTGCTGCCGGAGGCCTTCCCCGCCCTGCCGCCCCCGCCAGCCATCTTGAACAGGGGGTTCAAGATCAGGCTGTCCAGGGGGTCGTTCTTGTCAGGCTTGAAGCCACGCTCGATGCGAGTCACCGTGGTGCCCTCCTCGTCGGTAGCTGTGATGCTCTTCAGCTTGGACGCCGCTTGAAGCGCCCCCCACGTGTCGTCGCACTGCTCGACCCCTCGCACGGCTGTCGCCGAAGTGTCGTGGATTGTTTTCCTGGCGTGCCTTACAGTGGACGATGCAGTCAGCTTGTAAGTGCCGATGGGGTGACCGTGCGATGGCTCCCGGATGATCCCCTTGACCCACTCGCCGTTGAACTTGGCCTCTCTGAGGTCCTTACTCTCGATCTCCTTGTCTGTGTGGGCCTTGTAGATGGCAGCCGGCCAAAGGATGCCAACCATCAGCTCCACGCCAGTCCCGTTCTCCTCCGTCGTTTGGACTATGATGATCCAATCCTGGGGGATCTGCTCCACCTTCTTGACCATGCACCCCTCGGGGTCGTTGTAACGATCCTCCCACAAGAGGACAGTATAGAAGTAGCGCTTGAACTTCTCATCATCCGAAAGCATTTTTTTCACCTGCTTCGGCTTCTTGCCCTTGTAGGCCCATATCAGGGTGTTCCTGCATGAATAACACACCGCAGCCCCTGGCCGCGCGACCTCCAGGAAGGGTGAGTCGTGATCTTCGAGGGGCTGGGGTGTCGTGCAGTACTCCCGACGGCAATGTCCGCACGTCGCCCCTGGCTTGGGCATGGGGAACTCGTCGGTGGGCTGGGGTGCTGGAAGCTTCTGGCGGACCTCCATGATGGTCGCGATGCGACTCTCGATCATCTTAATGTCGATCTGCGCCCCGCTGAGGCCACTGGAGCTGGCCCCCATGATTCGTCCTGGGTTACCGCCCATCAAGAGAGGGGTGGGGGAACGAGAAGCATGCTTCCCAAACAGTGGTTGCGCAAAAGGTCTGCATCGGCTGACCTGCTGGCGGACGGCCCCGCCGTGAAATAACTCACTGTTCTGGGTCCACTCTGATAAGCAAGCCTTCATTGTCATATCGAAATGTCCTGCAAAGCGAGAGAACACAGTGCCGGCGTCGCTCGCTCCATCTGGGTCAGCCGGGACCTTGGGGACGGAGGGGCTTAGGCTAAGTTAGTGGGCGGCGGCGACTCCCCCACGCGAGGCGCACCTGCCGCGGCGAGACTGGGCGCGCTCGCGGCGACGCCCGTGCTCAGGCGCTAAGGGCGGGCCCGATCCCCCCGGCACCAGGGGGGGCGGGTGGCCTGGGACAGGCGGGGGGGGGGTCTGGAGGAGGAGGAGGAGGAGGAGGAGGAGGAGGAGGAAGAGGAGGAGGAGGGCCCCCCTCGCGACCACGGCTGCTGGGCGCGCCTCTCCTCGGCCCCCTCGGCGACGAGCGCGCCCCCCGGTCGTCGATGGCTTGGTCAGCGACATCGGGGTCGGTCAGAGAGTATGGAGGGGTACGGAGAGCCCTGGGTTCTGGGCTAGCAGCGCCTCGGCGCGGATTCTTGAATCGCTTGAGCTGGGAAACCTCCGAAAGTGGGGGCCAGACAATGGCGCAAGCATAAAAACTCGGAGGTCCGCGCTGATTTCTCTGATCGGTGCTGGGGCACCACGGCGGCGCCCCCGGCGCGCTCCGCGCGCCAGGGAGGGGGGTCCAGCGAGGATCCAAGAAATCCGCGCGGACCCCAGAGTTGTTATGTGTATGCCACTTTTTGTTTCCCTAAACATTGACCTTGTGTTCCTTGCTGCTTCTCATATCAACTTTGCGCTCCTTGCTGCGTCTGCTGTCTCTCGTGCTCCTTGCTGCTTTCTGCTCTCTCCCCCCATCCATCGTGTCCCTTGTTGCTTCTGGCCCCCCTCCCCCCCCTCCCCCCGGGCCGCTCGTGCCCGACGCTACAGACGGCTAGTTGCTGTGCGCTTGCGGAAGGGATGCGGCAGGTTCGTGCCGCGTCGACCTTGGCGTTGGCCCCTGACACCGCGAGGATCGTTCAACCTTGAACGATCGGCCGCTGCCGAAACGCCCCAATCGCTCCACGTCGAACGATTCTGGGCCCCCCGCGGCGTTCAACGTTGAACGCCGCTGGCGGGTTCGCCGCTGGTCGACGCGACACGAACCTACCGTAGCGTGCATTTGTGCATGTTCTTTCTCACACAGATGCCGCCATGGAGGCGATGTGACGTCGGGGCGCGCCGACGCACGCAGTCGCTCGGCCTGGCCCGCAGGGGTCAGCACGGCCCGCTATGGGCGCGAGGACTTAGCGCCATCTCGACTATGTAAGACCCACATTCGGACCAATAAACGCATTGGCCCCCTACCTACCACGCGCCGAACGCAGCTCTCGGAAAGGCCGCGAGCAGCGCCCAGCGCACCAAAGTGCGGGAATTGGAAGCGCACTGCCACGTGCCGGCAGCAGCGCTGTCGCGCCCGCCAAGCTGCATCCACTCGCGAGGGTGGGGGCTACCTCGAGGGGCCCGAATGACATGACTCTTCCCCTGGAGGGGGTGGGGTCCTGGGAGCACTGGCAAAGCCCGCCCCGCAACTCCTTGCAAGCGCCGATGCTGCACCGCATCCCCCCCTGCCCTCGCCAGTGAAATTAATTAGACAAACAAGGAATCGAGGACAGCATAAGGGTGTTCGACAGCGGCAGGGACAAAATGTTCGACCTGCATGGCAGCCTCCGGGGACGAATCCCCCCCCGACCCCGGGGCCGCGGGCGGGTGCCGCAGCCGGTGGTAGGCCTTCGCGAGGGACATGTGCAGGCTGAAGACGCTGGCGGCGTACTGCCCGCTGTGCCACGCATTCCCGGCGAGATCAATCAGCAAGTCCTGGCTCATGTCGTTCATCTGCTCGTTGCTGCGGTCGCCGAACGCGCCGTAATCGATGCCCTGCATCCGAAAGAGCTCCCGCCCGTGAATGAGCCTGCAGCGGGAAGACACCCAGAACCGACCTTTGGTGCAAACGCAAGGCATGCCGTCATCCTCGGACCCCTTGGTAGCTCTGGAAGCACTCTGGTTCGTCTCGACGAAACGCAGGTTGTCCTGGGGGGTCTCCGCCCTCTCGCTCCTCCTCGTCCTCTTCCTCCTCCTCCTCCTCCTCCTCCTCCTCCTCCTCCTCCTCCTCCTCCTCCGTGGGCGGTCTTCGTCGTCGCCGTCGCCGCCGCCGCCTTCGGCGCCCGTCGCGGAGGCGCGGGGAGACGCGGCCCCTTCTGCCCCCAGCAGTCCTCCGGCAGAGTGACCCCCTGAATGTCGAGGTAATCCTTGGAGCGCTCGGAGAGGGTCTTGGCGCCGGGGTACTTGGTCATCGCTGCCTCTGTGAAAGCGGTGGGTTTCAACCAATCGAAGCCTTTTGCCCGGGCGAACTTCCAGTTCTTGACGGCCCAAGTATTGGTCTTCTGCCTCGGAGGGGCGATGTCGGTCGGGGCCGCGACGTCGGCAGCGCCTCCGCCAGCCGCGTCTCCCCCGCCAGCGCCGGGGGCAGGTGGGGCATCTGGCTGGTCGCGGCGCTGGGGCACGAGCGAGGCGGCCGACTCGCTGCCAGGACTGCCGCCAGTCGCCGCCGCGAGAGCCGCCGCCTCGGGGAGGGCGAGGGGCGAGGGAAAGTCTGGAGAGCAGCGGGGGCGAGGAGAGGAGTCAAACCATGGCGCTGGGGGAGGGGGAGCACGGGGAGTGCGAGGGCGGGAGGGCGGAGGAGACCGAGGAGGGATGGCGGGGGATGACGAGGAGGGGGGGCTGCAGGAGAGCCTCGGGGAACCACGGGCGCGGGTGGCCCAACTGGGCTTGCGCCTGAACGATGGCCCCCATGTCTTCTGTCTTCCGTGGAAATATCGCCAGGGGCCTCTAAAGAAATTATCACGGTGCGACCCTACCTAGGAGTTGGAGCCCATAGGACAGCAGCATTAGTAGTAACACTAAAGCTAAGCTAAAGCGAAGCTAAAGCTAAGATAAAGCTAAGCTAAAGCTAAGCTAAAGCTAAGCTAAAGCTAAGATAAAGCTAAAGCTAAGCTAAAATTGAGCTAAAGCTAAGCTAAAGCTAAGCTAAAGCTAAGCTCAAGCTAAGCTCAAGCTAAGCCAAAAGCTAAATATAAGCTAAAGCTCGACTGAAGCTAAGCTAAAGCTAAAGCTAAGCTAAAGCTAAGCTAAAACTAACCTGAAGCTAAGCTAAAGCTAAGCTAAAGCTAAGCTGAAGCTAAGCTAACGCTCAGGTAAAGCTAAGCTAGAGCTAAGCTGAAACTAAGCTGAAGTTAACCTAAAGCTAAGCTAAAGCTAGGTTAAAGTTAAGCTAAAGCTAAGCTGAAGCTAAGCTAACGCTAAATCTAAGCTAAAGCGAAGCTAAAGCTAAGCTAACGCTACGCTGAAGCTGAGCTAAATATAAGTTTAAGCTAAAGCTAAGGCTAATCTAAAGCTAAGCTAAAGCTAAAGCCAAAGCTAAAGCTAAAGCTAAAGCTAAAGTTGAAGCTAAAGCTCCCAGGGGCCTGGGGGAACCGCCCCCAGGAGGCTGGGGGAGCCGACCGGGGCCCGCTGCACTGCCCGGCCCCTTTTAAGCTAGAGAGTAAGAACACTTCTAGGTAGAGCCTAGGTAGGGGATAACATATTAGATGGGGGGAGGCAAGAGGAGGGAGGTCGGGCCACAGTTTCGGAAGCCATGCCTCCATCTCAGACGGGTCGCCCGGCAAGGTGACATCCTCCGACGCGGTGCCCTGCTCCAGCTTCGCCTTCTCGGCATCATCATTGTCGAACAGCTCCTCCATCATCTTCTCCAGCGTGTCAGGGCTCGCGGAGCGATCGTTGCCCACGGCGGCGCCTGCGCCACTGGGGGCATCGCCCTCTCGAGCAGCTTCGGCAGCGCGAGCAGCTTGTCTAGCAGCTTTCTTCGCCGCTGCAGCCCTGCGCTTGACTGCGATCGAGGCCAAGACTTCTTCAGCTTGACTGCGGTCGAGGCCAAGACGACTTGCGATGCCAGCGGCGGCGTCGCCGCAAGTCGTCTCGCCACTGGCGGGGGCGACGGCGGCCGCCTCAGCGCCGTCGACCGCGCCCCCAGCGGCCCCCCGGGCGGGCGCCGACTGCGCGGCACCCGCGTCGCCGCCGCCCACAGCACCCCCGCCCAGACTCGGAGCGGAGACAGCCGCTTCCTCTGCGGGCTCAGCGGGCTGGGCCTTGCCTGCAATGAGATCGGCCTGCTCGGCAGCCGCGCAGCCGCCAGCGCCCTCGGTCGACGCCGAAGGGCACGGCGCGCCCGCGATCTCGGCGGCCTCTGGGGCGGCCGCCGACTGCGCGGCACCCGCGTCGCCGCCGCCCTCGGCAGCGCCCCCGCCCAGACTCGGAGCGGAGACAGTCGCCATCTCTGCGGGCGCCGCGGGGTCGGCCGGCTCGGCGGGCACGCCGCCGTTGGCCGCGGCTGCTCCAGGCAGCGCGGCCATCGCCCCTGCGTCGGCGTCGGCCGCGCCTGCGGGCGGCGAGGCCGCGCCATCGTCGCCGCCCCCGAAGCCAACTGCGTCCTCCGCACCCTCGTCATCGGGGCCTGGGACGGAGAACTCGTCGACGAAATGAGACGAGTTGCACTCGGCGCCGGAGTCGCCGTCGTCGCCGTCGCCCTTCTCGACCTTCTTGACCTTCGACGCCTGGCCCTTCGACTTCAAGTTACCCGCTGGAGCTCCCCCCTCCCGAGTCGCCCCGGCGGCGTCCGTGTCCGAGCTGGATGAGTCCGAGTCCGAGTCCGAGTCTGAGTCAGAGTCGTCCTTGCCCTTCACCTCGTGCTCCTCGTCGGGGTCGCCGTCGAAATCGTTGCCTCCGTCAGCATATTCCTCATCCTCCTCCTCGTGGCCCTGGCCGCCCTCGTGGTTGTCTGCAACCCGAGCCCGCTTCGTCTTCCCGAGTGACTTGCCGATGGCCGCGCGCCGGCGCCTCACCTGTTTCTCCTCCGCGCACGTCAGAAGATGCCGGATGGCCATGTGGTCCTCAGGCAGCAAGAAGCTCTCGAGGGTGACAAGGCCGTGATGGGCCAGCCGGTCTGAAATCGCAAACAAGTCGTTGAAGAACACTTTCTCGTTCAACTCCAAATCGGCCACGATCGACCTGGCAACGACGGGGATGTAGTAACGAGGTCGACTGACGGGGTGGCCGTAGCACTCTGGGTGCAAGAGCAGGACGGCTGGCAAATGACCACGCTCGTCCAAGTTGTGCAAGACTGATGCCAGGTTGGACTCGTAAATGGACTGCCTGCATCCGCAGTCGTCCTTCGGCGGGGCGGAGAGGGCCTTCACATTCTCGAACATCATCCACTGGAGCGTGCTCTTCGGATGTGCGTCTATGCGATCCAATACTTGCAGGAATGCTTTCCAGACCGTCCCGGTAGCTCCTTCACCCTTCTCGATGCAGTCCCTGAACTCCTGGGCATGTTCGAACATGTTGGCTACGCTCTTGCATGGGAACCCGCCAGTAACACCCTTGATCTCCTCGAGTGGAACCTGCGACGTACCCTGGCTCGTCGCCCCAGTCCTCGAGGAACCCGCTCCGAAATCGGGCGGCGCGTCGCCCTTCGACAAGTCATTCACCTAGGGGGGGGGGCAGGGGTGGTCGAGGAAGACGACGGCGAGGACCGAAAACTCGAAAAAACGCTCTTGCTCACTAAGCCCTTTTCAGTGCCAAAAACCTGTTAGTGAGCAAGAGCTTTTTCAGCTTGTTTTTGAACACATGCGAATGGCTTGGGCCATTCCGCGGATATCTCAACAGAAGGTGGTGCTTGCGACCGTCGTGGGATCATCTGGCGTCCCAGGGGCGTTTTCAATGTATATGGAACTTTGCGGAGGGCTCTCGGGGGCTTCTCTGGGGCTGCCTTGAGGCCGTCTTGGGAGATCGCTATCTATGCCGTTAGGACAGGGATGGGGGGGGGGGGAAAGGAGGGGTGCAGGAGGGGCGCTGGAGGGGAAGGAGTGGGCAGAAGGGAGATGGGGGAGGGGGGGGAGCAGGATGGGGGGGAAGGAGGGCGCAGGAGGAGGAGGGGAGCGGGAGGAAAATTCTAGACGCTTCGCGCATCCCCATCAGCCCATCCAGAAACGACGCCCAGGCGAGTAGAGGGCCGCCCTGAAGGGCTTGTCGGCGTCTCGGGTGCCCAGGGCAGCCTCTGTGGGCCGCTGAAGGGCTGCCCGGGGGATTTATGGGCCGTCTGGGACCCTGTCGGGGCCGTCTCGGGCCCCCCTCTCGGGGTGTTAGGGCCTACATGGCGGCCTCGAGGATGTTTTGAAGGCACCCGGGAAGGCCCCCCCCCAGGAGGCCGCCCCCCCCGTCCAGGTCCAGGGGAGGGGGTAGAGGGGGGGGGGGACCACTCCCCGAAGGGGAAGGAGGGGTGGAATAGGAAACTCCCTACACCACGGGCGCCCAGAGGGCTGGTGGGATTCAAATCATCCCGTCACGTCTCCGAATAGGTGTTGGAGATCTGGCATTACCTTGCGAAGGAACACGCGCTTCCTCGGGTCGACCTCGGCACTGAACATGTGCTGGTCCTTGCAGTCGATGCCGTGCTCGCGCAAGACTCTCCCGATGGCATCCATGGTCACTGCGCAGCACTCGGTCCCAGAGCATAGGGATGCCACATTGAACGGCTGATAATGCTCAATGTATTCCTTGAGCATGGCCTTCTCGTCGTCCGAGAATCGGCACATGAAGCTGCGCAGGAGCACGGTGAGATACCTCTGCGGACGTGGAAAAAGATGGCGAGGGCCGCAGAAGAAGCCCCCCAGTGACTTCCAAGGGGGTCCAAGACTGTTCAAGGGCACCCAAGAAGGCCCACCCGGGCCCGCCTGATTGGATATCCACCCCCGAGATCCAATCGCATCCCGCGAGGTCCCCGAGAACCCCCCAAGAGACCGCCAAGGGGGCACAAGGCGGCTCCAAGTGCCCCCAAGAGTGCGCACCCGGGCACGCCGTCTCGGGGCCCTCTGGGAGGCCCGAGATGGCACGAAGGCCCTCGAGAGCACCGAGAAACCCCAAGGAGTGCACCCCTCTTGGAGCCGTATCGGGGGCCAGGGAAGCGGGGTACGATGTCCGAGCCCTCTCAGCGGTGCCCGAGTCGGGTGGGCGGTGCCCCTGGTGGTGCCCGAAGGGCAAGCGCGGGGCCAGAAAAGCGAGGGGCCGATGGGCCGAGCTCCCTCAGCGGAGCCCGAGAGGCGGGGGGAGCGAGCTCCCCGGCGGTGCCCGAACGGCAGGCGCGATGCGGGGCGCGAGGTCCGATGCCCCTCGGCCGAGAGGCGGGGGGGGGGGGGGGGCGCGGGGGGGGGGGGGGGGGGGCGAGGCCCCTGACGAGGCCCGACGGGCAATCGCGAAATCGCGGAGCCCCTGCAAGCCCCGGGGGCGCGCTAGCAGGAGTGTCAGTGGCGTGGCAGGGGCGTGCCAGGGGTGTGTCAGTGGCGTGTCAGCGGGGTGTCAGTGGGCGTGTCAGTGGGCATGTCAGTGGCGTGTCAGTGGCGTGTCAGTGACGTGTCAGTGGCGTGTCAGTGGCATGTCAGTCGGGCATGTCAGTGGGGCTTGTCAGTGGGGCGTGTCAGTACACGTGCGTTACCCCCTTTTGCGAGACATCCTCGCAACTCGCCACTTATGACACCCCACTGACATGCCGACTGACATGCCGACTGACATGCCGACTGACATGCCACTGACACGCTCACTGACACGCCACTGACACGCCACTGACACGCCACTGACACGCCACTGACACAACACTGACACAATACTGGTACCCCATTGGCATGCCACTGACACGTCACTGACACCGTACTGACACCCACAGCCCACGTCTCAAAATCATCTGCTGTTGCGCCGACCATGGCACGGACCCTCGACTCACTTCGCCCTCGCAGCCCCTCACCCCTCGCCTGATTGCTGTGGTCGGTGCAGCCGACCCTGAAGGGGGGCTACGACGATGACGGTGGCGGCGGCGACGACGACCTTGACTTGGGTCAGAATGTTCATGGATGTTCCTGGGGATCTTTTCGGAGCGCTCTCGGGGTCTTCTGAGGGGGGCAAGTTAAAGTTCTCGTGGGAGCATATGGGGGCCTCTTGGAAGCCTCTTGGGGGGCGTTTGTGGCTTCCTGGCGGCCTCTCGGGACCTATTGGGCCCTCGCAGTCCCTCACCCCTCGTCTGATTTTGTTCAGCGGTACTCGGACGGGTCGTCCAGGCCTGGCGGGAATGGGGTTTGCCGAGCCTCTTCCATCGGTTTGGTCTTCACCTCGTGGATGCCGAACTCATGGAGAAGCGACCAAGCACGACGGGGCCGCAACTTCACCGGAGGCACGACAGGCACAGCTGCTGCCACAGTCACCGTATCAGGGGCCTTGGCGCCACGAGCAGCTGCAGGCTTCCGCCTCGGCGGCTTGACAACCGGCTTCGGTCGTGGAGCCGCCGCCGGCCTCTTGCGCGCAGATCTCGGTGCCATGGCGACAAGAGGACGTAGGTCGATGGTACGCTCGGTGAGTGACGAGGTGAATCGAATCGCAAATCTCTCGGGTCCTCGAGCCGATACTGTGGGGGCGGGGTTGCAACGTCGACCGGGTCTCTCCGAGACAGCCCAGGAAGCAAACGTCAATCGCGATGGGTGCCGCAACAGCCCCCCGACGCATCCGCGCCACGAGGCCCTCCATCCGAATGGCCATCAGCATCGCTGTTTAGGCGCCTGGAAGCCACTGACCAGCAACTGCAGCCGAGTCCAACCGCGGCGACGAGGGCCACCGATTTGCAGAGACCCCGAGCAGCGACGGCAAGGCCATCCGATGGCTGGCGGCCCCGCCCAGGAAGGGAAGGGACGGATGAGCGAGGGGCTGAGGTGGAGGGGCGGTGGCAAGCTAGGCGGAGGAGGAGGGGGAGGCGGAGGAGGAGGATGAGGAGGATGAGGATGAGGATGAGGATGAGGATGAGGATGAGGAGGAGGAGGAGGAGGAGGAGGAGGATGAGGAGGAGGAGGAGGAGGAGGAGGAGGAGAAGGAGGAGGAGGGGGGGGGGGGCCCTTGGCGTTTCGGGCTCGCTCTTACTCATATCCGAAACCTGGTGACCGCGGCGCCGCCCGCAGGACTACGGCGACGGGCAGCCCAGCGACCCCGTCATTTCATTCCTGCCCGCCCGGTGGACCGCCGACAATCGCCGTCTCCCCTCGAGCGGCTGGGTGCTTTCGTCGATCGGCTCGGAATTGCTGGGCCCTCCTCATGCTCGCCCACATCCCCCCCTCCCCCCACTGCCCACTAGACCCCCACCTCTCCCCGCGAGGTCGGTGCACCTGGGGGGCGGGAGGGCCTGGGGGCAAACTAGTGACGCCATGGGCCCCTCGTCCTTTCGTTCCATGGAAACCTAGCGGTAAATTTCGAGGAGCTGCGTGGCGCGGGCGAGGACGGGTCAATGTTGCGAGAGGGATGGCTAGTCCATCTCGCCCTCCACCCTCGTCGTCGTCGTCGTCATCGCCGTCGTCGTCGTCCTCGCCCTCGCCCTCGTCCTCGCCCACCGCCCACCCCGCCCCGTCTGTCCGCCCGTCCTCCTCCTCATCCTGCTTCTCCCACCCCCCCCTCCGCATCGACCCCTCAATGCTTATTCCTCTCGAAGCGGAATCGCGGAATCACCCCGCCCCCGCCCGCCCAGGGGCCTCCGCTGGGGCAACCAGCTCTGCGAAGCAAGACACCTTCGCGCTTTCGCGCCGCCCCCGCCCCCTCCCCTGGGGCAAGGGGGCAAGACGAGCAGTTCGCCCAGACCACGGAGCGCGAATATGGCATCCCCTCGTGGCGGCCCTGGCTTCCACTAGCGCGTCGGGTTTTCCCGCGACCGCTGGCGCGCCTGGCAGGGTCCGCGATCGACCCCGGGCCCCATCCTCAGACCGCTCCCCGCCTCAGGCCTCTCGCCGGGTCGCAGCAGGCAGCGCAACGCCGGCAGCGAAGGCGCCCCTGCCAACATCGTGCAATGGCGCCACCCCCGACGCGGGCACACGGCGATGGGCACCGATGGCTACGCGATCAAACCGACGCCACGGCCTTGGTCTTGGCCTTTGCCTTGGCCGCAGCTGCGGCAGCGGCTTTGGCCTTCGCCGCTGCCTTCCGAGGGTTGCATGCATCCTTGATGCGCGCGGCGTCAGCGGAATGCTGGGCGCGGTCCTGGAAACGCACGAATAACCTACACTGTAGTGCGGGGGTGGGCGGGGGGGGCACTGAAAAGGCGGGCGGGGCTCGACTGCGACAACCCCCACGCTCGAGCATGCCGCGGCAGGACGAAGTTCGAAGATGCAAGACCCTCAGGCCTCCAAAATGTTAGCGGCGCGCGGCCGCCAACCCAGGGACGCAGGGATGCACGGGTAGCCTTGTGGCTTAGGGAGCGCCGCGGAGGTCGCCACAAGCATTGCCCCGAGCACAACCTGCCTCGATTGTTCTGCACCACGCCAGTCCACGATGCGAGCCGCGGCGACCCACGAGAAGCCCTGGTCGTTGAGCGCGTCCTCACCACCACTTGAATTAAACCACGCCCTCTGCAACATGAGGGCGCAGTCGGGGTGTCGCTTGCACTCGAATTTGATAGTCGCCCCAGACCACATCTCATAGCACCGGGCCAGGCGCCTGGTGCTGTCCCCGTCGAAGATGTCCTGTCAGCTCCCACCCTCCGCAACCCCCGCCCCTGCCTCTCCCCCCGCCGCCCCCCCTCCCCCTCGAGGGCCTTCGGGGGGGAGGGGGGGCGGCGGGGGGGGCCTTGAGTCAAGGCCCCCCCCGCCTCTCCCCTCGAGCTCGGGCAATCCTTCGGGAAGGCGACGCTGCCTTGGCGAAGCCCCCGCGACGCCAGGTGCTGGGGGGCAGCCCACGACTCGGCTAACTCGCCCGTCGAATACTCCTGGGGGCAACTCACCGACCGTCGTTCCGACCCCCTTCCCCTACCTCCACGAATTGGCGCTCTCTCCAACCTGCGCTATCGGGAGGGAGGGGCCCGAGTCCACCACCACCGCGACGACGACGACGGACGACGACCTCGAGGATCGAGGTTCGGCTCGGTGCTTTCTGTCCTCTTGGGCGGCTTCCGTCAACGGGTGCCGCGGCTGGGCAAGGCTCGGGAAACAGGTGCGTCGCCGTCGTCGTTTGGGCCCCGGGGGCGGTCTGGGGGCCAGCTCTGAGCAGATGTGGGTCGGCGTCGCCTCGCCGCCGCTGTCTCAGCGGGCACTCCGAACGGCGCGATTCGCACGAGGATGGAGGAGGAGGGGGGATGGGAAGCAGGGAGGGGGAGGCACGGTTGCTGCGCGGGTTGCGCACTTGCGATTCGAAGGAGGAAGGGGAGTAGGTGAGGAGATGGAGGCGGGCACCCGATCCTCTGCTTTCTTCAAGTCCTTGTCCAGCGCCTCCACGTCTGGGTCGGCCGGCAGCTCCACGACGACGTCGTCGGGCGCCTTGCCAATCCCGAGGTCGCCCTCGTCATCGTCGTCGTCGGCAGGAGCAGCGACCATCTGCATGAAGTCGACGAAGTCCTCTATGGGGTCGAGGAGCCCGCCAGCTCGTCGCCGTCGTCGTCGAGGAGGGGGACGGGGGCGGGCGGGCAGTGGGGCGGGGGCGGGCCCTGCGCCAATCAGTTTTCGGGCTGGGCGAAAGAGGGGGATAGCAAAGGGGGGGTTTGAGAATCAGCTCACGCAGCTGATTTTCCCAGCGCCCCCCGGCGCCGGAGGCGGCCATGCATCGAGGCATGGGCCAATCGACGGGGCCGAAGCCAGCTATATGCAGCAAATTTCGCACCCCCCCCCTCCCCTATCCCCCCTTTCGTCCTTCCCGAAATTTACGACCCAGTCCTCCACGGGCGCCCCTCCGGCGGCAGCGGCGTGCACCTCTGGCCCGGGCGCGGCGGCCGCCGCGGCAGCATCGCCCATCGCGTGCTGGAGGAGGTCGCCGATGAAGTCAAAGCCCCCCACGGCGATGGCGCCCGGGGCAGCGCCCGCGTCCAGCAAGGGCGGCGCCGCTGCTGCAGGTGCTGCCGCGGCTTTAGCCTTGGCCTTGGCCTCGGCTGCTGGCGGGCCTGCGCCCGCCGCCGCGGCAACCAGCGCGCCCGTGTGCTGGTCGATGATGAAGACGGCACCCAGGGCCCCCGTGGTCTTGACCTTGCCCAGGTCGATGCCGTGCCCAGGCACCAGCACGTGGGGCACGTGGGCAACTTGCTGAACTCGAAGTCGATCAGGCCACTCAGGATGAGTCGAGCGGAGGAGGTCGGCGACGAGATCTGTGTTGGATCGGACCCGCAGTCTGCCCGCAACGCCAGAAGTTGCAAAGTGCTTGAATAAAGATGGGATGGAATCTTGGAGAAGGACGTGTCGCTCTCTGACTGGCGCTAACACCAATCCTGCGTAATTCCCCGCATAGTCGGCGGGTGTGCATGGGTCACCATAAACAACGTAATGTTGAGATGCTGCAAATCTACCGTGATGGGCCTGGGACTCGATGAGCATGCAGTAAAACTCAACCCTCGCCCCACTCGCAGCCTCGACGACGAAGTGCAAGAAGATGCTCTGCATCACGCAGGCTGGCTCGCAGCGACGATCCAAGTAACCCCGCATGGAGCTCTCCATGGACAGGATACGGGCCGGCGTCGACTTCTCGCACAGCCCCGAACAGACCGTGCTATACGGGGTTGGCCGCGGAAGATCGCCGGGCAACGGGTTCTCGAAGTGGTTCGTAGCATCGGTGAATTTAGCAACGGCCTTGGTCAAGCTCGTCGTGGCCAAAAACTCCCTCAACGTCAACTCGTCCATCGGGTGCTTGCAATCCATATTGGAAACTGGCATTGCAGCGAATGTCCGGGCCGGGTTCAACTCGTCGACCACGACCTCCTGGATCGTCCCGACCACCATGTGTTCTGCGTAGTGCTCGGCATTCGCAGAGATCTCGACGGACGAACTGCCAGCGGCGTCCAGCGCGGGCACGACTTGCACGTCGTCGGCGGGCGCCTCGGGGACTGGCGCGGCCACGTCGGCAAGTGCCCCGGCAACTGGGGCGGCCGCGAGAGGCAAGAAAGCCTTGCGAGCCCCTGGATACTTCAATCTGTCTGGCTTCCGATTATCTCCCAATGACTTCGCCGCCTGGCGGACAGCCGATATCTTCGTCTTCTCGTCGCGCGCTTCCATCCGGAAGCGCTCCTTATCCCCCGGGGGCAACTCGAGCCACGCATTCTTGGCCTCTTCCCAACTTGCCTTGCTGACCGCGTTAAACTTCTCGCCATTGCGGCGCCGGACCCTGTTGTACTCATCCCGAAACCTCTGGATCGGCCCCTTGACTCTCGTGCGCTTGAGCTTCAGCTGCGCCCCAGGGCGAACAGTGTCACGGCGGCTCCTCCCAAGCGCCGCCTCGCGAACTCTTTTCCACAAAGAGGCCGCTCGGGTCGTGACTGCATGGGCCACCAGCGTGACGACGCCTGAACAACCATTGCACTCTTTGTTGTAGTTGCTGTTGACAGCGTGCATGCGCTCCGTATCTGACAGCGACATAGTCGTAGAAAGTGCCCAAGAGTAAATAGTCTGTCGCACGCAGGGGTCATCAAAATCCCACTCCTGTTCAAACGCCTCCCTGGCCACGCCCGCAGGCAAGCAGCATGCCTTCGCGTCGTGGACGCGCTGCCGAATGGAGGCCAGCTCGGGCAGCGAAGGTCGATCGTCGACGAACGCGGCGAGCGCCCAAGGGAGGTCGAGGAAATGGCCGTGCCGCCGATGGAGGCACCCCACGCACAGGAACATGAGCCGGCGCACGCGGGGAACCTCATACCGATGCTGGTCAGCCCATGCCTCGGGCGTGTCCTGCCCGCGCGTCTGCCAGAACAGTCTGGCGGAATCTGGCAGGGCTAGCAATAGGGAAGAATAGTATTGTTCAATTGCAATTATCGGCGACAGCGAGGGCACTGCGAAGTCGCACATCATGGGCCGGTTGCGCCGCAAGCCGCCCTCTGCGCACCTGGCGGAGCCGGCGGGGGAGGGGCGCGGGGAACGGCGGAGGGGGGGGGGATGGGGGGGTGAAGACAGAAGCGGAGGGAATGCAATGCGACCACCGTTGCGGACAGCGCCCGGGCCTAGTTCAGACCAGGCGGGCAAGGCCATGGCGTCTAGGATCTGAGGTGTCTGGGTTCATGCAATGCGACGCACGTAACTATCCCAGTGCGACCCTACCTAGGAGTTGGAGCCCCTAGGAAAGCAGCATTGGTAAAAACAATACATATAAGGTACAGCTAAGGTAAAGCTAGGCTAAATCTAAGCTAAAGCTGAGCTAAAGCTGAAGCTAAGCTAAAGCTCAGCTAGAGCTAAGTTAAAGCTAAGCTAAAGCTAAGCTACAGCTAAGCTGAAGCTAAGCTGAAGCTAAGCTGAAGCTAAGCTAAAGCTAAGCTAAAGCTGAAGCTAAGCTAAAGCTAGGGTAAAGCTAAGGTAAAGCTGAAGCTAAAGCTAAGCTAAAGCTAAGGTAAAACTAAGCTAAAGCTAAGTTAAAGCTAATTAAAGTTATACTAAAGCTAAGCTACAGCTAAGGTAAAGCTAAGCTAAAGCTAGACTAAAGCTAAAGCTAAAGCTAAGCTGATAAAGCTAAAGCCACAGCTAAAGCTAAAGCTAAAGCCACAGCTAAAGCTAAAGCTAAAGCTCCCAGGGGACTGGGGGAACCGCTCCCAGGGGGCCGGCGGGGCCACCGGGTGCGCGTCGCGCTGCCCGGCCTCTTTAAGCTTGAGAGTAAGAACCCTTCTAGGCAGAGCCTAGGTGGGGGAAAAAGTTTGGGGGGGAAGGGGGGGGAAGCGGAGGGGAAGGAGGGGGGGGGGACGGGGGGGGGAAACGGGAAGGGCAGAGGATGGGGAGCGTGGGACCAGGGGATATCGCGCCTCATGAAATGGAGATGCAGGGCGCGACCGGGCTCGCACAGGAGGATCAGCTCGCAGAACGCCAGCCTGTTGGTCTGCGACTCGACGAGCTTCGTCAGGCGGGCCAGGCGGGTGCCTCCAGCAGAGGCCTCCCAGATGGGATCGGAGTAGATGGGGTCGGAAGATCACGCCGCATTGCCGATGTATCGGCGACGCATCGGCGATGCATCAACGGTGCATCGGCGATGCATCGCCAACGTCGGCGGTGCATCGGCAACGTCGGCGCGAAGCAAATCGGGCTCCGCATCGAGCCGCGTCGTCTATGCATCGGCGATGCGGCGCAATCCTCCGACCCCATCTACTCCGCCCCCATCTAGAAGGCCTAGATCCAGGGGATGGCGAGATGGCCCCACTCGCCCTCCTACTTATCCTCCGCCTGCCACCCCACCCCCCCATCCGCATCCCACTCCTCCTCCTCCTCCGCCCCCCCCCTCCTCCTCCTCCTCCTCCTCCTCCTCCTCCTCCTCCTCCTCCTCCTCCGCCTCCCGTGGTTTGCTGGGCCGCAACCTTGAACTCTGTGCCAGTTCATCCCAGTGCCAGCGCGTTCGGCCTCCACCGCCGCCTTGGACGCGGCCCTCTTCTCGTACGTGCTCGCCAACTGCGACATCGCCTTCTGGATCAGGTCCCGCCCCATCGCGTGTGGAGCCGTGAACTTGCACCAGAAATCAAAGCTGGGGACGAACTTAGTCCACTTGTTCGCCGCTATGCGCTGGGGGCGAGACCTCCGCCAGGGGGGCAGGTCGGGCAAGACGAAGCTAGAAGAGCAGGAGGCTGGGAGGGGATGAACAAGAAGAGTAGGAGGAGGAGGAGGAGGAGGAGGAGGAGGAGGAGGAGGAAGATGAGGATGAGGATGAGGATGAGGAGGAGGAGGAGGAGGAGGAGGAGGAGGAGGAGGCGGATGACAGGATGATAAGAGGGACGTTATTGCACGTCCTTTCCTAGCCTCCAGGGGCATCCGGGGGCCGGCGGGGTCGGGGCCGGGTGGTTTGTCGCCGTCGGGCCTGAGGACGCTTCGAAGAATGCTGGATACGGCCTTGTCCTGCGCATCCTTCAAGTTGGCGCAACAGCTGCCGTCCCTCTTGCAGTGGTGCGTCCAGGCCGCGTCCGACCAGCGCCCGTTGAAGATGGCGAGGAATTGTTGTCGCTTCGCGAATCCCCACCAGCCCATCCAGAAACGATGCCCAGAGGAATTGCCTCGATCAGAGAAGTGGGCAGCACACAGAGGAAGCCATTATGAGACATCTTGGGATATCTTGAGCCATCTTGGAGGTCATTTTGGGCTCTCCCAGACGCTCTTGGAGTCATCTTAATCCGTGCCCCCCCCCAAGAGGCCTCCATGTGGCTAAAACCTGTGTAGAATCAATGATTAGGCATTCTCGCCGAGGCCTCTTGGAGCATCTTGGGTGCATCTGGGGGGGCTCTTGGGGCCTCTTGGGGGTCTCTTGGGGGCCTCCGGGGGGCCTCTTGGGGGCCTCTTGGGGCCATTTTGGGGCCATCTTGGGACCTCTTGGGGCTTCCTGGGCGCTTCTTGGGGCCATCTTGGAGGAGATCGATCAAACAAGAGGGGGGGTTTAATTAGCGTCCCCCCTCGGAAGCCCCTAAAATCGCCTCTTGGACCCCTCTTGGAACGCTCTTGGAGTGCTCTTGGGCGCTCTTGGGGCCGTCTTGGGGCTCTTTTGGGGCTCTCTTGGGGCCCTCTTGGGCCATCTTGGAACCATCTCCAGGCCTCGGATGGCCATCGGAAGCGAAAAGGCGAGAAAGCAAAAATCATTGATTTTCCTTAGGTTTTGGGACGATTTTGGCCTCTTCGGGGCCTCCTTGGGGAGCTGTTTGGCCACTTGGAGTTATCTTGGGGCCGTCTTTGGGCTTCTTGGAACCATCTTAGGAGCCATCTGAGCGATCTTGCGCTATCTTGAGCCATCTTGGAGCTCATCTTGGGTTCTCTGAGGCGCTCTTGGAGCCGTCTTGGGCCATCGACGCTCTAACTACCCGCGGCCCCCCCCGTCCAGGTCCAGGGGAGGGGGTAGGGGGAGGGGTAAACCCCTCCCCAAGGGGGAAGAGGGAGGGGTGGAAGAGGATCTGCTCTAGACCACCTACGCCCAGAGGGCTGGTGGGATTCCTCGAACGACGCCTCGACGAAGCGGCCGACTGCGCGACCTGGGGGCGGCGGCGAAAGCGACGGCGACGACGCCGACGACCGCCGGGACAACGACGCCACTCAGCCTCTTCCCTCATCCCTCCCTCCCCTCACCCGTCCTCCTCCGCTCCTCCCAGCTCATCCTCGGCCCCCCCTCACCTCCCCCTCTTCCCCATCCTCCTCCCCCCGCCCTCCCGACCCCCGCCTACTTTCCGCCAGCCCGAGATGCCGTCTCTGCGATCGTCGTGGCCCCTGAGGTATCGCAGCGTGATGTCGCGCACCTGTTGCCCGTAGCCGCGCGGGGGCGGTGTGAACACGAGCTCGAACTTCTCAACCACCACGGGTCGGACGGCGTGGAGCAGCCGCCTCCAATGACCCCCGTTGCGCAGGAACATCGCACCGCAGAACGCGTCGCAGGATAGGTTCGGCCCGATGGACGCCACGACAGCGCAGTCGGTCAGCATGGCCGCGTGGTTCTGGCACCCGGAGTCCTCCGGGGGCGCCCTCCCGCATCCGCCCCCACCCCCCCCTCACCCCTCCCCTGACCGAACTCCAGACGCTTCGCGCATCCCCACCAGCCCACCCAGAAACGACGCCCAGTCGAGTAGAGGGCCGTCCTGAGGGGCTCGTCGGCGTCTTGAGTGCCTCGCGGGGGCCTCTTTGGGTCGCTTGGGATCCTCTTTGGGGGGGGCCCTGGGTGCCTCTTGGGCTCTTGGGTGCCTCTTAGGGCCATCTTGGGGCACTCTCGTGGCCTCCTGGGCGCTTCTTGGAGCCATCTTGGAGGAGATCGATCGCAGGAGGGGGGGGCGCAAATCCCACCAGCCCTCTGGGCGTAGGTGGTCTAGAACAGATCCTCTTCCACCCCTCCCTCTTCCCCCTTGGGGAGGGGTTTACCCCTCCCCCTACCCCCTCCCCTGGACCTGGACGGGGGGGGCCGCGGGTAGTTAGAGCGTCCAGATGGCCCAAGACGGCTCCAAGAGCGCCTCAGAGAACCCAAGATGAGCTCCAAGATGGCTCAAGATAGCGCAAGATCGCTCACGATGGCTCCTAAGATGGTTCCAAGAAGCCCAAAGACGGCCCCAAGATAACTCCAAGTGGCCAAACAGCTCCCCAAGGAGGCCCCGAAGAGGCCAAAATCGTCCCAAAACCTAAGGAAAATCAATGATTTTTGCTTTCTCGCCTTTTCGCTTCCGATGGCCATCCGAGGCCTGGAGATGGCTCCAAGATGGCCCAAGAGGGCCCCAAGAGAGCCCCAAAAGAGCCCCAAGACGGCCCCAAGAGCGCCCAAGAGCACTCCAAGAGCGTTCCAAGAGGGGTCCAAGAGGCGATTTTAGGGGCTTCCGAGGGGGGGCTAATTAAACCCCCCCTCTTGTTTGATCGATCCCTCCAAGATGGCCCCAAAAGCGCCCCGAAGGCTCCCCAGAGCGCCTCAAGAGGGTCCCAAGAGGCGCCCAAGATGCCCCAAGGCGCCCAAAAAACCCTCCAAGAGGCCCTCAAAAGACCCCCAAGAAGCTCCTTCCCCTCCTCCTCCTCCTCCTCCGATTCTTCCTCCTTCTCCGTCCTCCTCCTCCTCCTCCTCCTCCTCCTCTTCTCCTCCTCCTCCTCCTCCTCCTGACGACGACTCCTCTTCCATCCTCCCCCTCTCTCTGTGACAGCTTCCCCCGCCCTTTGTTATTCTGCATGCTCCCCGACTTCCCTGATCACCTCAACTCCCCTGAGCATCGTTTCTGGATGGGCTGGTGGGGATACGCGAAGCGTCAACAATTCGCGCCCCCCCCCTCAGGAGGCCACAATGGGGCCAAAACCCTTATGTAAAATCACTGGTTTTGGCTTCCTCGCCGAGGCCGTTTTGGACGCCCTGACACCTGCCCGCCCCCCCCGCCCAGGCCCGCGGGGATGGGGTAGGGGGGGGGGGTAAATCCACCCCCGAAGAGGAAGAGGGAGGGGGGGAAGAGGAAACGCCTTAATCCACCGACGCCCAGAGGGCTGGTGGGATTTGCATGTAGGGCGGGCGGCGACCGATTGCAGAGCCGACTGTCCTGCACGATGGTGGCCTCATCGTTGAATCTCGGGTCGTTCTGGAAATATGCGAACAACCTGTCGTTCGTGCTCGCGCGATCGAACTCGTGAGTGATGATGCCCTTCTGGCCGCACTTCACGAGCGCCCGCACCCTCTCCATGGACCTGCCGATCATTGGATGCCGCTGCACCGCCGCGAACACATCCTCAGCCTTGGTGCCGTTCAACGCGACCGGCGGCACGGTCAAATCCCAACACACAATCCTGTGAACTCCTAGAGAGAGAACTCCGCCTCCACCTCCTCGTCCTCCTCCGCCTTCCTCCTCCCCGTAACTCGTTTTGCTTTTCCCTGGGAGTGATTCCACGGCGTCGATTTTCCCTGGCCCCAGCCTTGCTTCTGGGTTTCGGATCCTTCAGCCGGCCTGCGGCTCCCCTCAAGGTTTTCAGCTTTTCCCCTGGGGCGCGTTCGACTCGCGCGCGCACTCAGTCCCTCGACCGTCATCCCTCCTCTCCTCCTCCTCGTCCTCCTCCCCATCATCCTCACCCCCCTTCTTCCCTCCTCCTCCACCTCCTCCTCCTCTTCCTTCTCCTCCCCAACCTCCTCCTCTTACCCGCCGATCCTTCCATGGCCATGCACACCCGGACGCTCATGACTAGCAGCTCGACGTCGTCGAGCTCGGTGTTCTGGGCCGTCCCCGCCAGCGTCCGCATCCGGAGCGACTGCGCGGGCACAAACCAAACCATTACTGCAGGTTCGTGTCGTGTCGACCCCAGCGTTGGTTCCTGACACCGCGCGGATCGTTCAACCTGGAACGATCGGCCGCCTCCGAAACGTAAGATCGTTCAAAACCGACCGACGCTGGGTCGCCAACGGCGTTCAACCTCGAACGCCAACGGCGGGGTCGCCACTGGTCGACACGACGCAACCTACCGTAGAGGAATAGGCTGGGGGGGGGGAGGGCGCGGGGAGGGCGGTGATGCCGCCATCCGCCGCCTCGCCGCCCCCTTCCCCCTCGCGGGGGGTTGCCCTCCTCCCTCCTCCCTCGCTCTTCCCGCCCTCCTCGGTCCATCCTAATCCTCCCCCCGCCATTTCCGCCCGAGGCTCCTCCTTCGTCTCGTCCCACTTCGTGGAGACGGCCACGACGCTAGGCTTGCGCGACCGTGCCATGCTGATCATGAGGTCGAGCCAGCGCTCCTCGGACGATCGTCGTCGTCGGTCTCCGTCGTGGTCGCCGCCGCCATCGTCGTCGTCGCCGTCTAATCGAGGAGGAGGCGGGGGGGAAGAGGAGGTAGGGGAGGGGGGAGATGAAAGCGGCGAGGGAAGGGAGGACGGGCGAGATCCTGGCAAGTGACGACACACTCGGCGCAGAGGGCCAAGTTCCGCTTGATCGTGGGCGGGGCGACCTCGTGA